CAAACACTATGTTTTTTTCTCGCATTTTCGATCGATCAACAAAGTTATAAAATGCTGACACGCACACGCATTTCTCACGCAGTGCGTAAAACGATTATAAAAAAAGAAAAATTTACATTTCTCACGAGATCGAAAAAAGTTACAGAAAAATTACATTAGCTCCATTATTGGTCTTTCCAACTTCAGTTTCGTGATAATATCATCTCGTCACGCACGATTTACATAATATCTGCGTTACTTTTTTTTCAGCTTCTTGTTTTCTCCACTGGCTCCTCCAGGAGTAAAAGCTTGGACTCCCTTTCTCGGTGTTTTCTTTATTTTCCCTGATATTTACTTTTAATTTTCCATACTTTTTTTTTCCCATTTCGTCAAACAATTGCCTCTAAGAATATCACGCACAATTTTAATGTTGATACCTCATAGTTATCATAATTACTGTTATAATATATTGTTTGTATAGTAATAAACTTTATTGCTTATTTCGTATTATTTTTAATAATATACGCGCAATAAGAATACTAGTCAGCGTCACAGACTGACCGGATATATGTTTTTAAAATTTTTTTCATTTTTATTTTAAACGTTATACGAGTATGTTTTATTTATTTTTTTTTTTCTTTCAATAAAACGTATTAAGATAACGATATTTGAAAAGTACTTTGTCATTCTTAATCTTTATATTTTAAATATCAATGCTGAAAATGCTCAAAGTACAACAATACGCATATTTTTATGATATGTCTATGTTTAATATGGTACCTAAAGTCATATGGAAGAACGTGTTGCCGTTTTATTTATTCCTCATTCTTTCATCGTTTTACCGGTGGTTTTGAAAAAATTGTACGGTACGCGTGTGGGTCCCATAACGTTAAATATAATTGCTTAATCATGCATTTTTTTAAAAATTTGTTTATATAAATATGGATATAAATATGAATACTATTTATTTTAATTTTCAACTCTCATACCATTACTTTTATTGTTTGTATACTTCGTCGCAAAAAATCGTAAACGATTGGCATCCGTGACCCATTTAATTTACGAACACGCGTTTTCCATCATCGTTATACTCTCGGCCCTGCAGCCACGATTTTTTCGAGCTTTCGTCGTCTCTGGCCAGCGGGGCGTGCTCACGTGTAGAAAAAGGTCGTTTTCGTCATTTATAAAAATGATACTTGAACACGCTTTCGCGAGAAAAGGCATCGTTTATCGAGCAAATTTTTTATCACTGCATCGTCAAATTTTTTCTTTTTTTGCATCTTGGATTCATCTACAATTCTCTATTTTTATATAAGTACTGTTAGTCTTTTTTGTATGACTATTAGAAAAGTTTACCTTCATTTTTGCCCTTTCATTATCTTTTGTTACTTTTTTTCCGGCGGAAACATCCACGGTTGCAGGCAAGAAACTACCAATTCAGATTTTTGTTAAAAAATATCCCAGCTAATTCTTATTTATATTAAATCAAGTAGTCCTAATTTTTTTTTTTTTTTCTCATATTCTGTTGTTGTAACAAAAAATTTTTAATTTGTCACTTTTCATAAATAGAATTGTAGGGACAAAAAAATACTTTTAAAGTTAAGAAGCATTTTCTTTAACACAAATCTGATATATTTTTGTCTTGCTCACAACAGTCGATAAATTTGTTAAGAATACATATAAATTCAGTATACACAAGATTATTGAGTCTGACGAATTCAACGAAGAAAGAAAAGCACAAATCAGAAAAAGAGAAGCGTGCAACACTTGAGCACGTAGGTATGTATATACTTGTACACGTTAACAACTAAAGGCAGTATTAAATAAAAGTAGTAATGTAAAAAATCTATGTATTAGTGACATTTACTAAGAAAAATTATGACTCAAATGTATATTATACATAATAAGTAAACGCGAATACAAGCAAGCAAGCAAGCGAGTACACAAGCATGAAAGTCAGTTCAACAGAGCTATTCACTACGTATTAGTGTGTATCATCAAGATCTTTCTTATCTATGATTTTCATCGGCTGTCTTTGTTAATTTGTCAGAAGTTAATATTTTACATAGTTTTTTTAAAGCTAACTTTTCAAAGAAACAATATTGAAAATCAAGGGTATTTTGACAAAAAATTTCAAATAATCCAATTAAGCGACAAAAACAATGGCTTGAACTCTTCTAATTATCATAGAAATTAGAAATTTCAACTTTTTTTTTTTTTTTTTTTTTTTTACAACGATTAAAAAGGTGACGAGGACACCCTTGATGTTCTCTCTATCTTAACAACATCACTCATTATAGTATCACATTGAAACGCAAATCTTCCATGTTAGCTGTGTCACACTTGCAAATTGTCTAAAACCACTTCAGTGAGATGATATAATACACAGATACTCTCGTGTCCTTTGATTAATACTCAATAATAATAATTATAATAAGAATAACGAAAAAGCGCGAGATAAATATGCAATACGGTTATCTAAGTAACTAAACGACTTCAACTATGAAAATTCAACACTTCTATGTAGCCAAAATACTACTAGTTATACTTTTTTATATGTATAATTAGGTGTATACTTCCTTACCTGATTGCGAATATTTTGTTCCGTCTACATAGTTGTCTTGAAATCTGCAATAAATTCTACTGCTGCTGCTGCTGCTGCTGCTGCTGTTTTCTGCTCTACATATTTGGTATATGCATATAAATAAATCAACAAAATTAAATAAAAGATCAAAAAAATTTTTTAAATGGTGTGTACAGGAGGCAATGTATACACACACACGGGCGCGTATGTATGTACACATATATATATACATATGTATACATATACATACACACACACATATATATATGCAAGTATGTGTGTGTATTTTTTTGTGTGTAGAAAAAAGAGTATATATAAATATTGCAAACACACTGACCAACACAATAAATATTACTTAGGCGTATGAAAAGTAGAGGAGAAATTATATGAGAAGTGATATTCGAGTAGGGAAAGTGAAAGAGGAACGGAGGATAAGGTAGAAATTTTCAATAATAATAATAATAATAATAATAGCATTAATTGACACCACGTATACCGAATCGTGGATGAGAGTGCGCGCGCACTTGGCGAGGATTATATCAAATCTGTATATAATACCTATACGTTCGATTTGATAGCGGTGACTCTGCCGTATATATATACACCATCATCGGAAAGTATAGGCCCTATACGTATGTGTGCGCATAAGTACGTGTAACATGAATAGGGTATATACGTAAAGGGCGCCGAAGAAAATCCCCGAGAGGCAGCAGCATAGTCACGAGTGATGTGGGTGTGTGCGCCGTAGAACCAGAACTCAAAGAGGGAGCAGAGCATATAGGAGGAGAACGGAGATGAGAAAAAGAGAGTAAGCGAGATTAGGGCGCGACGGGCGAAATCGCGGCCAGCACGAACGGCGCGTCCGTAGAAATATACGGTGCTCGTGCATCGGTCGATAAAGGCGCGGCTTGCCAGCCAGTGGCACCACCACTACCACCTTTCCCCCTCTCTCGCTCTCTGTTCTGCTCTNATAATAGTAATAACAATAATAATAATAGTAATAAAGTATGAAAGGTAAATATTTAAGTGACAGATACGAGGAAAATACACAAACATGTTAGCTACAAATAAGTTTTTAAACTACTTTATTGGCAATTTCTCTAGGCATGTCGACTAAACTAAATTACGGTTTTATCGTATCGGTGTTAGTGAGTGATTGCTTTTGACTTGACTTAACTTGCTTGTAAGTGAGTGAGTCTGATCTCCATCCATACGTACACAGGAGGCTACATACATGCGCGCAACTCGACATTCGATTTTTCTACAAAATTATTATCTCCTGCCAGCCATATCCGTATATTATACTTATACTTCTCTCATTGCCTTCAATAAAACTGCCACAGTTTTTATTATCTCTCTTCACTGTCTCTCGCTCTCTTCCTTCCTATCTTTTTTTCTTTTTCCTTATTTATTACCTTATTTTTCGTTTCAAATTTTACTAATTGATTACTACTAATTATTACTACTATTGATTATTGCTTTCGGAAGCTAGATTACGGAAGAGTCGAAAATATACAGAAAAATGCATGCATTTTTTATATTTACATACGCGTGTCTACGTATACATTACAAGCGCGTGGGTGCATACCGATACACGAATATTTTTTGTATTTTACACACGCACGATCACGTGCAATATGCGTACACCCGCGTATGAGCAACGGCCCTTGACACAGAAGCTCGAGTTATCATCATCATCATCATCATCATCATCATCATCATCATCATCATCATCATCATCATCATCATCATCATCATCATCATCATCATCACGATTATCAGACTTGCTTAAGAAAATAGGAGACAAAGATGTGCACATGTCATACCTGTTCGCGGGCATAATATTTAATAATAATTCACACGGAGTCTCAGCAATAAAAGCTGATGTCGACCCCTATGAGTATGTTGCTCTGTTTTTCGATTGATGTTACCTTTAAAACTTATGATTAGTAAAACTCACACCTTCTCGGCGATTTTTTCTCAATATTAATAATTGTTTGTTTGATGATTATTATTATATAATAACTACCCGCATAAAAGTTATGTTTGGCGAAACTTTGGCCAAGCTTGGGCAAAGTTTCGCAAAACATGAACTTTTGCGCAAGTTTGGCCAAACTTAAAATTTTTACGCGAGTATTACTTGCAATATTTTATTTTCCCCTTCACACACTTAAGTATTTGCTTCAATTGAACTAGTTATTTTTTAGTCTCCCTCTTTCTCTATTTTTCTCAAGCTCTCGTGCTTCCTCTCTTTTCTGTCTATTTATCTATCGACTGTTGTACACTAGATACAAGATGAACGTTAGTGATCAATGAGAGAATGTCGAGAGATGATATAACCAAGTGGTAAAGATGATGGTGATGCTGTTTTTAATAGAGCTAATTTGCATGGTCACGAGTCGTCTAAGAACGATAGTAGTAAAAATTGAACTGTTTCTTTTTTTTTTTTTTTTTTTTTTCGTTTTAACAACGTGTACACAACAACTACTACGGAAACAATAGTAATGTCAGCAGTAGCAGTAGTGTTGGTTAGCGAGAACAATGGTACTTTTTATTATTGTTATTAGGATTAATTACAAAATAGTGAGGAACGCTCATAAAAGTAGTGCTCCTGCTGACTCATTATTACAAAGTAGTGCTTCTGCTGACCTATTATTACTGTTTTTATTCTAGTTTCTATTATTATGTTCATTTTATTTAAATTTATTGTTCTCGTTTTGCTTTTAAATTTCTTTTTTATCGACTTCACATTTTTATAAAGCTACAATCTCTGACAATCACAATGCATTTTGTATTTGTTCATTATTGTTATAAGTTATTTATTTATTATTCTTTCTCAACAAGAGTCCTTTAATTTATTTCAAACATTTTTTTATCTCAGAATATCGTAAAAATTTGACTTATCCCATGTATAAGAAAGGCGAGAGTCCAGAGAAATGATCATCTTCATCATCATTATCATCACTACGTATTATAATTATGTTATAGTAAAAAATGAGTATTGACAGTTTTTTGTAAAAATATAAATCATAGCACAGAAATGAAAGGAAAATTAATCTAGATAATTTTTTTTTTTTTTTTTTTTCCAATGACTATGATAATGAAAGTGATGTTAAGATAATATACATCATTTAATAACCGACATGCTTCTCGCAACTAAGATCCTTAGGATCCTACTAATACTATAATGGTTAGATTTCAAACTACAAATGCTATGGAACATAGACAAACAAAGGAAAAAAACAATTATTATTACATATTAATATAAATATTAGTGAGTTTTTGTGGTGTAAAAAAAAAAAAGATGAAAACACGTAGTTGACAAAGTCTTACATGTTATAAAATTCTGTGAGAGACCAAAAAATATCAGATAATGATAAATAAGTAACAATTAAAGTATTGGCGGCTAAAAGTGGTTTCGGACGTTTAGAAGTGTGACGAAATTATTCGAATCATATTAGATAAAATTAATCGCAATGTACGTACGTACCTACGTAAGTGTGTATTCATAAGTGTTTGTATGTATGTATATATGCATGTCTTTATGGACCTAGTTATAAGTTAACTTGCCTAAGTAAGTAAGTGAGAAAGTAATTAATCGAGTTCGTTATCTCTATGATCCTTTATTGTTTAATCGATAATCTTAAGGCTTAGATGTATATCAATAACGCGCACTTAATATATACTTAAACTCGAATGCCGCGACCGCAAAAAGTACTATTACCTCTAAATTAAAAGTCGTGAGGGCCAAGAGGATTTAGTATTACTCGCGTTAAGAGTCAAGAGGATGAAATAAATTGTACGAAAACTAAGTAAAGCCTCGCAGTTGCTTGATTAAAACAAAGGTTAGAAATAAAACAAATACCTCGACGCAAATCTATTGGAAAGAAAATCATTCGCCATGGATTGCAATTATCAACGTGAAAGGGAGAAAGATAAAACCTACAAATTACAAAAGTAAAATTACGCAATCGCGCGCGTCAACTTTCAACTTTAGATAATACTACCCGCTGCGAACGATCAAATCAGATGTACGTGGTTTATTCTTGTTGTTGGCTGTTTCAAGTCAACTTTTTTATCACGCAAGAAGAAAAAGTACGCAGGAGCCTTCGTAGAGTATTCTCGTGCTGAAATTCTCGTATCGTTCGCCGCGTTTCTCCCCCTCTTAATTTTCTCTTAATTTTAACGCGAATCAGCTGCAAATAACACGAGAAAACGAAAGGGCAAAAAAGAGAGATCGCATTCAAGCGGTAACCGAAGCGGCGGATAGGAAACAACATACTACTACTAATAATACTTAAAAAAATGAAGATAGCCGACGAATCGCGATTGAGTACGATAAATGTGTAATGTCGGTTCTAATAATATCAGAATCATGTAATAAATAAAACGACAAGGAAATCAAGGTAGGCGAGGTAGGCTAAGTACGTAAGGGAAGAGCCAAACGAGGGTTCTGCAGTATCGTAAACGCACAATGGAGGAAGGAGTAGGAGAGTACGTGTTACATAATTATAGGAACCCTAACGCGTCGCTGATAAGAGGCTACCCGCTGCTGCCACCCGTCTTGTAACGTGTATGTGTACATGCAGAGGAAAATAATGAAAAGGAAAGACAATTAGGGCCGTACTTGTTCGTCGAGACGGATAAACAAGTCGCTCCGTATAATTGTACTAGTACTATACTGCAGCAGCAGCAGCAGCAGCAGTAGCTCTCTCGTTGATTAATAATTAATGTTCAGAGTAGTGTTGTTCCAGTCTTTCTCGAGTATCAGCTAGCGTTTTTTCAAGCGTCGCGGTGCACATCCCTCGCACGAGGCCGCGAGTCGCGCTTTTGCCCCCAGTACGGATAGTCGGGGTCAAAGGGCCCCTTCGCCGGTCCTCGGGACGCTCTTTGTATATGCGTATATTACGTCGCGCATTAGACGTACATGCCCATACCGTACATGGAGCCCCAGTCGACCCCCTGGAAACTCGACATGTCGACGTTTGTGAGAGAGTAGCCCTGGTACGGGTTGGGAGGTGCAACCCCCGCAGCTGGAGAATTAGCCTGGGGTTGGCCGTGGTTCTGGTGCGCCGCTGGATTCTGGGGCATTTGGGCGCCGGGCGCGGCAGCCGCGGCCGCCGCCACCGCCGCCGCGGCCGCCGCCGCCGAAGCTGGGATCGGATAGGGGGCGTACCGGTAGGCCGAGAGGGCCGTGGTGGTGGGGTAGCCGCCCGCGAACAGCTTGCCGTAGCCGACGACGGCGTTCTGGACCTGAGCCGCGGCAGCGGCGGCCGCGGCGGCTTGGACCTGGGCGGCTTGGGCTTGCGCCTGGGCGACGAACTGGCTGACGCCCGGGGCGGGTAATGCGGGCTGGGGGGCCAACCTGACACCGAGGGCCCCGAGGACGACGCGCTTGTTGAGCGCGAGGGCGCCCGGCTGCACGGCCTCCTTCGGCTGGGCCTTTTTACACTCGACCTTCTTGTTTTTGATCGTGTGGAAGTGGATCTCGCAGACGCGATCGACCACATCCTCGTTCTCGAAGGTGACAAAACCGAATCCCCGGTGGCGTTTGGTCTGCTGGTCCATGAGCATGACCGTCTCCTCGACCTTGCCGAACTGGTTGAAGTAGGCCTTGACCTCGTCGCTGCTCGTGTCCTGGCTGACACCCCCGACGAAGATCTTCTTGGTACGGTTGGCTTGCTTTGCTCGGTTCTTCGGGGTAGCGTGTTTCGGGTCGATTTTTTTGCCGTCCAGCGTGTGGATCGGACACTTGAGAACCTTATCGACGCTGCTCGGCTCGGCGAACGTGATGAATCCAAAGCCACGGCTTCGCTGTAACACGAACAAGGGACAAGGCGGGATGAGCCCCCCCGGGGGGAGGAAGAGTTGTTTTTATTAATCGAATCTCTCTCTCTTCCTTTTTTTTTTTTTTTTTTTTTTTCTTCAAAAGAATAAAAGTATTATTATTATTATTATTGCTGTTGTTGTTGTTAATTAGACACAATTTTGAACGGAGGGGAGAAAAAAAATAATGACCCGTCCGTATACGCGAACAACGGCGCGTCAGCTTGTTTTAAGTAGATAAGATCCGAGTTTGGTCAGACGCGGTCGTCATCGTAATGATGCACTTTTCACACGGCGCGTGATTCCTCGTCAAACAACTGTATAATGAGGACCACTCGTATACTTAATACTCATATATGATGCAAGGTATTGGAAAGAAAGTGAGAATTAAAGGACAAACCTGCGTGACGGGGTCCTTCATGATGAGAACGTCGGTGACGGTGCCAAACATGCCAAAGTACTCGCGCAGCTTTTCACTGCTCGTCTGCCAGGAGAGCCCGCCGACAAAGAGCTTACCCGGGGCCGGATCACCGTTGGGCGTACTCCTGCCTGAGCTGCTTGAGTGGCTGCCGTTTATCGGCACCAAACTGTTGTGGTACTCGTGCTCAATTCCCGTCCCGTTGGCAGCCGCCGCTGCCGCGGCCGCCGCAGCTGCGGCTGCTGCTGCTGCCGCTGCCTCCATGCCCGTGCTAAAACAAAAACAACATTTTTCGTTTCTTGCGTTTTGTTTACTCCGATATTATCATTATTATTATTATTCTATTATTATTATTATTTTTTTTTTTTTTTTCCTTATGGAGTACATCATATTTATATTATTATTTGAAAAAACTTTTTGACGATTTTTATTCTTTCGTTTCAGCTGATACCGCTGGTAGCCGTAACCTGCCTCGGTGTTTTCTCCGGATTCTTGGTCGTGTGGATCAAGACTTTTCGAACGAACATTGACATCCGGTAAGTCATTCTACGAGTTTTTTTTTATCCTTAAATTTTATGATCTAAACGCGTTGTTCGAGTTAAAAAAATTCGAGCTTTTAGCATCAACTTGCATATTATATAGGCCACTGATGTTATTGAACACATTTTATATTTGTGGTCAATTAATTTTAAACTTTACTTCAGCCCTTTCGTAGCAATCTCTTGAAAGAAGAAAAATATTTTAGTTTAGTAGAACTCAATAATCATTAATCAACCCAACTTCCAGTGAAATTCATAAATTGTTGAAAAATCACCATTAGGTACACGTTACTCATCACCCTTTGGTTTGCAAAGTCGACAGTGTAGCTAAAAATGTATTATATACAGCGATATTAACGACGATAGCCCGGTATACATAAATAATTAACGAACCCATTGCCCAAAACCTCGATCAGTTCTGCTAAACAAACACATAACATTAGTCGGATAGGTCGAGCCTACCGGCAAATATATCCCCGCACCATCATATCATCCTGCGTGTTTTCTTTCGCCGAAGCCTGAAAAACATTGTATGTTAACTTTGGATAAGCCTCGAGTCTCGAAAATACGTTGGCACAACGTGGACTCTTTATACTCTAAAATCCACATGTATGAAAATGCGATTATACTTATGACGAAAACGTGAATTTAAAGTTTCAGCAACAAATCACTGCCCCGCTACGAGATGACGACTCATCCTGGGTTCTTTGACCTGCGCAAGCCTCGTAGCCTCAAGGTGAGCGAAAAATCAACTCGTGTACGTGTGTACCAACCTAATAACCCCCGCACGCACGCACGGACGCACCCCCTTACCACGGCCGCGGACATTGAACGCGTATCGGGTCCTGTGTATAGGTATAAAGTTGGGCAGGGGTGTGCGTATGCGTTTATATTATACCACGTTGGGCAGGAAACAATACAGCTAACGCATACCCGATCTGAGCTTCCCTCCCCGGGCCTCCTCCTGCCCTATCTAAGAGCGAGGACGGCCCAACCCATATGCAAGGCATCGCGACATATAAAGTAGGCGAAGTAGGAACCAAACGACCCCTCGCCCCCTCCTGGCTAATAGAAAGGAGCCAAGGCGCGGACGTGCACCGCCGGAATACAAGGAGTGGAAGGAAGAAAAGCCGGACGAGGGAGGGAGCGGAGCTCGCGCGAGGGTGGAGAGAGAGAGAGAGAGAGCGCGCGTGCCGCTAGCGGATCAATATACTCGCCCTGTCCTTCTCTCGGGGGGCGGAGGGGGGTAGAGGAAGTCTAGGGGGACCGTATAGGGGTTGGTTACTCGGTGCGCGGGCGCGGCGGGTGGTCGCTGTCTCTCTCTTCATCCATCTATCCATCCATCCATCCCTTCGAGGCTCGCACATACGTGCATAAGACAGAGTCGTCACGGTGGTGGTAGTGATGGTTAATGGTGGTGGTGGAGGCGCGTCGAGCGCTACGCAGTGCCGTCGCACGGGAAGCTCGAGCGGCCGCTCTCGGTAGTCCTTGCGCGAGCGCCCGACTAGCATCAACACGACTATTATTGCTACTGCTGCTGCGACTACTCATCCGCGTATGATTTAATTATATTATCGTAGGTATTGGGTGTTCCTCGTTCGGGTGTCGCGTCGGCTTTGTCCGGGTCCGAAACGAGATTTACGTAACGTTATAGGAGAGCGCGTGTGACAGGCATCGTTATCACCGAAGAAAGAGGCGCCGATAGGTAGCAATGTAACGCAACGCAACACCAAGAGAAAAAAAAAAAAAAAAAAAAAAAACCCTGGAGACGAGCAGAGGGCGTGTGCGACGTCGGGGATATTGTCCTGTCACAGCAGTACGCCTTGTTCGAGTTACTGGTGTGATGGGACATTGTCCTCGGCTCGTGCAACTTCAACAACTTCAGCGCAGGAGCAACGACCAGCCAGTATACTTCTCTTAATGAAGATGACGGTACGGTACAGTACACGGTTTAGGTATACATATATACACGGTACGGGGGCACAAGTGAGTATGCGGGTGCGTGCAAGTGTATGTAACGACAAAAAAGAGAGCGAGAGAGAAAGAGAGAGAGACGTCGGTTACTGTAACTCGATCATCGTGTTGCGGGGTAACCGTGACGGGTCGTATACCTCAACGTCGCATAGTGCACCGTCCACCCACCGATAGATCTCTCTCTCTCTCTCTCTCTCTTACAGAGAGCTACACACTTGATGAGAGACATACCTCTGCACCATGCAGAAGCAAAGGAGAAGCAAAGGGAAGCGAATCCCGAAGGGAAAAGAGGCAACGGGGTGGGGGCGTTCGATGCTGCAGTGTGGCCGTTGAATACGATCGGCCATATATACATACATACATACATATATATATATATAAAAGAGACGAAGAAGAGCTTGGCTTTGGAGAAACACCTAGCTGTGTATACATATATGGAGAAGGGGAGTTGGTTGAAAGCCGGTGCCGCGGTTGTGACATCAGGGGCGGGGTGCTCCGCGGAACGTACACCGCGTTGCCGTGTGCATCTTGTGACGTAAAACCAAAAATAATCGAGGTGGAGGCGATACATCGATTAATCATGACCCTCGGCACCGGAGCACCACACAAGAAAAATAATAATAATAATAGCATTAATTGACACCACGTATACCGAATCGTGGATGAGAGTGCGCGCGCACTTGGCGAGGATTATATCAAATCTGTATATAATACCTATACGTTCGATTTGATAGCGGTGACTCTGCCGTATATATATACACCATCATCGGAAAGTATAGGCCCTATACGTATGTGTGCGCATAAGTACGTGTAACATGAATAGGGTATATACGTAAAGGGCGCCGAAGAAAATCCCCGAGAGGCAGCAGCATAGTCACGAGTGATGTGGGTGTGTGCGCCGTAGAACCAGAACTCAAAGAGGGAGCAGAGCATATAGGAGGAGAACGGAGATGAGAAAAAGAGAGTAAGCGAGATTAGGGCGCGACGGGCGAAATCGCGGCCAGCACGAACGGCGCGTCCGTAGAAATATACGGTGCTCGTGCATCGGTCGATAAAGGCGCGGCTTGCCAGCCAGTGGCACCACCACTACCACCTTTCCCCCTCTCTCGCTCTCTGTTCTGCTCTGCTGTGTGCTGTACATGTCCGAAGGAGAGAGAGAGAGAGAGCTATAGGAGAGGGGGGGGGAGGGTGACTATCTACCTTCACAACCGGGCACGAGAGAAGTCACGCACAACATCTCCGAGGGATGGCCCAATTTGCACTCCTGAAGTATAATTTGTATCAATGTCCGTCGACTCCCGTGAAGCGAGAACAAAGTATTTCATCACGTGTGCTCGCGTGCACTACTTCCGTTTGCGACTCTTCTGGTTCATCAACTCGATTTATGTAATTTTTTTGCCCATCGAGATATCGGTCAGACGATTAAGTACCTTTCGATCGAGCCGACACTACGGAACCCCGACTTGCGGAAAAGCACACGTACACGTATACGTATACATTATAATACAATGAATATTGCCCAGAAACACGGTGCCGCTGTACTTATCACAAAAAGAGAGAAATTGCACAAATGATCCATTGACAGCGAGACGCGTGTTACCGCCAACTTGTACGTACCTATATAATATATATAATTCACTATATTGTATCTACACGCTGCACCCTGGGTACTTGGCAAGCGCTGTATACACCCATGTACCGATAAGAATCGATGGCCGGCCGCTTTTAGCTGGAATAATCGGGTCATGTTTCTTCGATTCAGTCAAGGCTATGTAGGATATGATATGCTATGGAGCGGTTGGTGTCTTTGACCTCTTGTGGGCGCGCAAGACAATGTAACGTCGTATGAATTACTGGTCGAGGGTGTGAGTTTGGGAAAATGGGGGAAAACACCGCGAGCTGGTTCACAAATACGCCGTTTTCTTCCTAGGTATATGTATATTACATATAATTATACAGACGCAGGCTGATCGATCACCCGTAGATATCGATACTGGACAGGGTGATGGAAAAGGCTGTGTAACGCAATTTTTTTTTTTTTTTTTTTTTTTCCATGCACAGTTGGTTTCGTCAGTTTTTGTACTCGTACAAATGATGAACGAGAAAAAAAAGGAGAGGGACAGAAAGAACGTGTTAGGCAGTTGTTGTTGTGCGCAGCTGCAAAGTTTTGGCTCATCACGGATGTACCTATAATATACGACGTGGCCGAAGCTATCGATTGCCGAAACGAAGTAAGCGCGGGGCAAAGGAAAAAAAAAAAAAAAAAAAAAACCAATACTTGTACGCGAGAGAACCGAATGAAAAATAAAATATAAGTACCCATCCCAGCTACTGTAAGGTTTTTCTACAGTCTCGGACATACGACGTACATTTTTGTCAGTGAGTGTTAGATGTGATGATTATAAGTATAATCATACGATTATAAGTATAATCATACCATTACCAAGTGGTAATCCGGTTTTGTTATCCATGGGGAAAGCCATGAGATTTTCGTTCTCAAAATCTGAGCGCGTTAAACAAAAACGGCAGACGAGTACGCTGCTGAGCCAAAATAATTGCGACAGCAACAGCAGAGGAGTAATCGTAAAGACATCACGAGGGAAAGAAAGAGGTTTCTTTCAGCTGGGATCCAGCGATTTACAGCCGCGGCTAGTGCCGAATGAAAAGAGGACCGAGATGGGGTGTACGCGCACAGCCATAGAAACGCGCCTGCGTACATTTGCAGGGGGGTGAGAACTATGGTGCAGGTCACCGCGGTCAGATGTCGGCACCAGGAACGCTGGGGAAGGGGTGGTTTTTACCCCCTTTTCTGTCCTCTCGATAAATATATATGTTTATGCATGCGTGGCGAGTAGAGGCAGCAACACACCACTCCTAATTCTCCTGTACTGTGTATTATACAGTGACAGTGGCAATGACACCACATATAGTTACCTGACACGCGCCAAATCCACCTACACACTATTATCCGTATTATATACGAACATCCACGCATTAGTGCGTCAAAGGATATGTAGGATTTTTATTCATTT